AAAGCTCAATTCTACGCCTCAGCCACTTCCAAGATTGCGGTTGTGGCAGTTACCAGGCAAAGGCAAGGTGTCAATCTAGGCCTCCTATTCGCAAAGTAGGATTAGAGCGTACTATAGGGTTTGAAGTGGAGTTGGTCATCAGTTTATGCGGACTATGGTGTGTCAAGCTATGGTCAGGCAATGTATCCACAGCCTCAAATGCCATACCCTTCCACTTACGTGTCCACCATGGATCCACATGTACTCCAATCAATGCTCCTCCACACGCCTAACTTGAATCAACTTCTCATGCATGTAGATCTGAAAATTCTTCAATAAGCTTTGATACACGCACCAGGATTCGGTAGATACGCCTCCAGTGTGGACGCATATGCATTGCAATGACTGTAGGACTTCCGTACGTGAGAGATATCGTAACAAGTATGGACGCGAGACTGCTCCAGCGGATGATCACATATATACCCAACATTGATGCCATTTCGTCTAGTGCCAATCCAGTCATCAGTCAACTCACAATGCCAAATATGCCCAGAACGATGCCAATGGCTGAGAGATCTGATGCTAAGATGTCACAAGCTGATAGATGGATGTGTGATCGGCCAAACAGTATGGATCCTAAGTCCATGGAATACTTTATGTCAACTATGCTGAAAATTCCCACTTAATTGGCTGATGCCTAATTACAAACAAAGCCTGTCCTCTCCTAATCCATCTTCCTAATGAAAATGGCACTGCCTTTGAAGCCAGATGCAAAATTTATAATCTCGGAAACATGATTCGAACAGCATACCAAACCAACAGCACCATACCAACACTACCCTATAAATTATTGTGTGTGTGACCTCGTCAATCCGTTCCTTTCCAAATACGATTTATCGGACAATGTACCTCTTTCCTTACTTTCGTTTTAACTTACAAATAAATATAAGAAATATTGAGACTACTTTTGTTTTATGCATAGCACCGTCGATGGACACATCCAAGCCCGATAATTTCAACTACGGCAAGACTAATGGCAAACATGCGCAGGAAGATACCACTGCGGTTTCTTAGAATCCAGCTATGGACCCTGAGGATCGCATTACGTTTGGCCGTGGCGTTCTTAATACGACATTTCAGAAGAGGCTGCACCTTACCATCCCAGGTCAGGGGAATAACTGATGCGCGAAAGCAGTCCTAATTAGTACTTTCTTCCTAAAACTCCTAACATGCTACTTAAATGTGTCTAGAGAAGTGAAGTTATCACTGCTGTGGCATAGTGCTCTCCCTTTCCCATACATCATGCTTGGCGACCTGATGGTGCATCTCGCGTTTTGAACCACTCGCGAAGACTACTACCTCTACTACTACTAGTGATCGACCAAGTTCAATTTCAGGTGTCCCCATACATGCGGATTTGCATCAGTAACAGGAACAGACACTCATCCCTTTCGCCTTGTGAAATGGACGAGAAGAAAAGGAAACTAGGGGGATACAGCAGTGGTGGCTAGAAGATCACTAATCAGGTTTTACTTCAATAGCTCGTTGTGAAAAACTAGTCTCGGAGGCGAGTACACTTTCACCAGATGCATACCGAATCCGCCTTTTCGGTACCACTACGCTAATGCGACAGCTTTGAACCCAGCTGTGAACCACTATCTACCACATGATACCGATGAAAAATCATACCTCCATCCCTACACGCAAATCGCGCCCTCAGCAAAGGGTGATGTATTTCTCACCCTTACACTGTCGCGGATCGGTGGCCTGGATGAGTCGTCCAATAAAACCAATGTCTGCGAAAATGTTCGTTTGGAAATATTATAATTATTCTACAATGGTTGGAATGTTGAGACCTTCGACTTTTGCACTATCAGGTGTTAACTTAATTGGCACCTCTTCCCCCTCTTCTGTCAACATCTACTATTCCACCAAAACTTGGTCCAGTCGAGCAGCGAGGCACTTTACTTTATGCATCTGGACGCCCACCCAACATTTGCTTGGTGGCCTATTTCAGAGGAGGTTTGGTATAAATTGCCAGCCAGATCATAGAGGTGTGTTGAATATTTTCAGTTTCTTTCGATGATGAAGTCTTTGGTGTGTGTTCTTGAGGTTGTCAGGATATTCAAACCCTTCCATAGTGAATGGGAGTGCATATCAATTTCAGTGGACCAAGTTTACTCCATAAACACTCATAAGTATGGCAAATGGAAGGAGTATTGCCTAGAGCTGATGTTGTTTAAGTGAAATTTAATTAATATTTATTTAGCATGTGTAAATGTAGGCTGTGTGTGTAATATTAGCTGAACGTGTATTAGTAAAATTCAGCACACGTTTAGGTGTGCAAACATGCATCAATCTTGATCAGAAGTGAATAAGATGTTAGTGATTAACAAATGGATAATGCTGTGATGAATTGATAACAGGTGGGTTTGAACACACATATGTAAATGCATGTGCCGATGTTGTCTTCTTAAAACATTTTACACATAAGGATGTGCGTATTCAATAATTTTGCTTTGAATTATTTCATTTAAGTATAAAACAGTATGGAAATATACAACTGTATCGGTGACGTTCGACTAGGAAAAATTCTATACGTATGCACACATATGTAGCCCCTGAGACTTTCCTGAAGTCGAAAAAAGACATAACACTTGAGCAGAATATGTATATATATTCAGCATACAGAAAGTACCATTGTAACTGGCATGGCCCAAAGGTAGATTTATACAAGGAAGGACGGAGTATAACATAAGGGTTTCGCGTCCGTTCCTCCTTATCGAGGTATTCTCACTTCAAAGCTGCCCAGCCATATCTACGCGGGCTCCATCCATCAAGTGGAGAAGTAGAAGGTTTATCGCGAGTTCAATTTATCGACAAATTTATGCGGGCATGGCGGGGAAACTCTGCACCTAAGCTATTCCAGATGATGCCTGGGGTGCTTCCCAAGAGTAGACATCAATTTCAGTCCTTCTGTTTGGAGTCATCACCGATTCCCCCTCCGCAGCATATTCACTTCCTCCGTCCCGTTAACGTTTACCACCCAGCAGTAATAACCTGGACAGATGTCCTTTACCATGGCGTTTGCTTTCCGTTGCCATTATGGTGGCATCCTGAGACTTCTCTGAAGATGAGAGAAAATGGCGGAATAGACATAAAGCCTATCATTATTTTTAAATCTTGTTATGCTCCGAAAAATTTTTCAATCATCATTCAAGGGAATATCGTTTTGTGGAGTAAACCCCTTTACAATCTGTCATGTATTGACAGTGGAAGAGACCAGACTCACCTTCTCCATTCTTCACGCTGACGTCAAGAGAAGGTGACATATCCCACTTAGTGAATTATGCAAAATGGAACCACATAAGTGTAGTTGAAGAACACAGGCTAGTTGCGAACTCCGCCTTAGTGCCGCTTCATA